GTCTGTCTGTCTGTCTGTCTGTCTGTCTGTCTGTCTGTCTGTCTGTCTGTCTGTCTGTCTCTCTCTGTCTCGCTCTCTATTTGGCTGACCGGGGGTTGCTTGTGCTTGGCAGCCACCTGCACCGATGTGAGCAGGTGGGTGGCTCCAAACCCATGGGGGCGGGCCCGAGACAGCATCAAGAAGGCCGCAAACCAACCCAACAGTCGTGAAACCCTATTTAGCCAAAATAGGTTTTCTTTTCATGCGGCTTGCCTGTTTGAGCTGCTCAGCACAGTTTCCTTACCTACTGGGGCTGGCTAGGGCCCGAGACAACATCAAGAAGGCCGCAAACCAATCCACAGTCGTGAAACCCTATTTAGCCAAAGTAGGTTTTTTGATGCGGCTTGCCTATTTGAGCTGCCTCTTGTTTGCAACTGCAAAAGGCACAAAAGCACGAAAAAGTCTTGGGGGTCGCCTTCCAAGGGTCGTTGGAAGATTGATTCACAAGGTACCCGCGAGGATTGACTTCACAGTTCTATAGAAGAAGTATCGGCGAGCATGAACAGGGATGAGCTAAATTATATATATATTTTAATACACATATATATATATTATAGAAAATTGTATATATATATATATATATTGTATAAGTTTATTGTATGTATATATATATACTCATTTGTTTGCATGAACCGGTCCAGTCAGGTTCGGGTGTGCAGCATGGTCGACTGCCACATGACATCTTTGGGTCATGTCTTTCGGGAAAAAATCGAAAAACAGCAAGGACGGAATGGTCTTTGGTGCACTTCCAGCTGTTGCTTCTTTTGGAGAGGATTCGCTGCGGTGTTCGCATCTGACAACTACGTTTGTTTGCGCGACTTGATTGGGGACATGTGGTCCATAATTTCGGACACGACGGCACCTCTTTGCCGCTTTGCAAGCCCAATGTCGCTGACCTTCACAGCGTGCTTGCAAGCCGGGTTTTTCTTTCTCTGCTTGTATTGAGATCGCTTCTTTCCCTTGTCACTTCAGGGCAGGCGAGATCTCTTTGCCACCCACCATTGCGCAACGCGTGGCGCTTGAAACCAGAAATCTTCGCACACCGCTGGTGTCCAACTTGTCTACATCCGGGCCAGACATCACTAAGGTGCTGCTCCATGAAGTGACCTGAGACGTTGTCAGACACATGTTTCTGGAGCTCCAAGACGCGACTGAACGTCCTCTCACACATGGCAGACTTCGTCTGTGTGAGCAAGTAGCTCAGAAGCACCTTGTGAGCTTCTGGATAGGTGTCAAGCTGCGCCTCAGCAAGCACTCGCAGCCACAAATCAAAGATTTGACTGAAGCTGAAGGAAAGAAAGATGCAGAAACCGAACCAGCTGAAGCTGAAGGCAAGAAAAATCAGAAACCAACACATCTGAACCGCATGAAGTTGAACAGGGTAAAGCCGAACCGTCGCCAGCGCAAGTTTGCTCTGAAGATGAAGAAGGCCGTGGCACTTTCAAGGTGTGGGGGTCGAGCCTGCTGTGTTTCCCAATTGCCTACATCAAAAATCACGCGCAGTACACTTGGAACTATGTCGAGATTTTCTGGTCAGGTGAGAGGTTATTTGACTAACTCAAAATCAACATTCCCAGCTGAAATTTTTGCCTGGCAGGACCTCAAGCCTCATGGCTCAGAGCTGAAGGTGGGTCCAAAAGTGGAGGAGAAGACGAAAGAACTTGTGAAACGACTCTACAATCAGCTTTCCCAAATACAGCCAAAATAAATGACGCGCCCACCTCCCAGTCTTCCAACGTCCGACCTGCGAAAACGACAGGTGGATTGGAGTCGGCGCCGGGCTCGCTGGAGCGCAACTGGCAACTTGTCGCCTCGGCAACCCAAGCTGATTGTATTTGGGAAAGCTGATTGTCAAAGCGCGTCTTGAACCAGAAGCCTTTTAAAGGCCTTGAACGGTTCCATGAATTCGCTTGTCAGGGACAATGTCTTGGCTTTTCTAGTTTTCCAGGTAATTATATAGTACCTGGACCCTCAACAATTAAGAATTTTCTTCACTATTGGGATTTCTTTCCTATTGGGCTGGCTTGGCCGATTCCAACCAAAAGTGATGGTTTCAACCAAAATTGAACGCTAGCGCTGCTCACTGCTCCTTTTCTTTTCTTGGCGCGCACACTTTAACGGGTCCAGTGGAACACCTGTAAGCCGCAGTGCAAACAAGTGTGCGACCAATGAACATTTGACCGGTTCAAACGGATAGAAAGCGTGCAGGGCCGACTTGCAGTTTGTACACAAGGTTTTTGTTGTTGGGTAGCAGGTCCCTTTTCCACTCATCATCCCAAGGGAAACCTCTCTGTTCTAGTTGTGTGATGGGAGCTCGATGAAACCTTTTTTGCGTACTTTAGCGGGTTTTTGTGTACTATTTGCATGCTTTTGCGTACTATTTGCGGATGTTTCTGTAGTGCTTGTGTCTTGCATCTTTACACATTACATGTTGCATATCGAGTCGAGTGAAAACGAATAGCAGCATTTGTTGAGGGATGCTTCCATGTCTTGAACTAGTGGAGGCTAACTCAGCGTCCAGCTCTTCAAAAAGGTGAACGCTAGGAATTAGGTAGACCCTGTCAAAGGGCCTTCAAATTGCTGTCGGTTACTTTTGTTTGTGCAAACCTCCAAAGGTCAAACTTCCTGTACACAATCCAATCGTCCAATCACATCAATTCTGGTTCTTCATGAATTGAACAGTTCTCCTTGCTCAACTCCAATAATTGAACTATTGGTCCAGAATGTCCAGTTTGAACGGTTTGAAGGTTTTGCGACCTTTTGCGGTCAAAAGTTTTGAAACGACCAATAGTTAAGACAAGTCTGCGCGTTTGAAGATTCAGGCGTATATATATATAGGACATGCATATATATATATATATATAACAGCAAAGGAGAAGAACTTATTCGTTTCGTCATTGTCAGAATATGCGCAGAATCTGCTTCTCACTAGAATCATCATGGAAGTGGACAGCCACCTGTTTGTCTGTTAGGATTTCATGGTCTTCCAAGCTGCCAGGCCATGCACTTCCATGACGCCAGGGAGTGTACCATGCAGGTTGAGTGCTTCATCAGGCTTCACGTTTTCCGTCAGTAGACCCCCTCGAACGCTACCTGCGAGCAAGCTCTCGTCGAGGAAGGGCTGGCAGCCCATCTCTTCGCCTCGGGCGACCCTGCAGCTCCAAACATCGATGATATCTATAAGTATATATAAGTATCAGAATGACAACAAACAGAAGCATGATGTTTTTATTTTTCTTTTTCTGTTTATGGTTGTTTTCTTTTTCTTTCTATATCTTTTCCCCCTTTTCTTTGGACCTTTCTTTCATTCATGGTGTGGCTGCCAAGAGCGATCTGCCATGCCAGCTCCGCTCCACGCGCCGACGACCCAGGTGTTCCATCCTCTTGGACTCCGGACATCTCGTCTTCCAAAGCCGACATCGCTCAATGGAAGCGAGAGTACGAAAGAGTCTCAAGAGTCTCAACTTGAGACCACATTTTTTTGGGGGACGTTGCCACTGAGAGAACCACAGAAAACCTCATGCCCAGAAAACAACATCATCCAAGTGACACGATCACGAAACAAATCAACCACTGAAAACAATGTGAAAACTACCATTGAACTCGAGAACAAATCGTTGACCCTTTTTGGGCGTTGTCCAGCTCTCGCGGTGAAACACAGCCGCCCAGGTGCACAGCAACGTTTGGATGGCAGGCGCTAGAAGGTCGAGGATCACAGGGATGCCTCGAAGACCGCCGTGGACGACGATGCCTTTCGACGACGACGACGATGCGGTCCGGTTCCGGTTCCGACGCACCGTTCGCGGGGGTCGCGACACATCCGCTCCCGGGTCCTGAAGAAGGGACGACCGGAACCGGAACTGGGAGACATCGGACGACCGTTCCGAGACCTTTGGAAGGCAGACCCACTCTACTACTGCCGTGAACATAAAGATTGAGTTGCAAAAGGGATTCCTTTGATCTTTGCGAGTATGATGCTTGGCAGGCGACTTGCTGAGATTTGAGCTGAACGAGAGGACCCTAGAAGAACTTCAATAGGATGGACAAATCGCCTTGCTTCCAATGCACCCATTGATGAACGGTCTTTACTACATTGCATAGCTGTAGTTCGATTCCACACCTTTATTTTGGGGGACAAAGTCTCCATTCCAACACAAGTCTCTCAAATGTGCTTCATTCAGAAACATTCATTTATCGGCCACAAACATGTTGAAACATCAGAGCCTTAGGAATATCACCGCTCTCAGTATCCTGTGACATGCCGTGACACGAAAGAGGCTGTGCCAAAGCACCAGCCTGAACATGTTATCAATTGGATCTTCCACGTCTGCTATCTTCATCTATCTTCTGCTCTTCTGTGGTCGACTTTTGAGCCGTTTTGAGAGAAACCCTTGCGTTTGCTTGGCGTTTCCAGGGAGGATTGCTAGAACATCACACACACACATCGATTGCCACACACGACCCACACAGTCACGCGGTCTTCTCATGAACCCCCGAAGCTTCGTCCCCGACCCCTCAAAGACACCGCTCGACGTGCAATGAACTTTTAGACCCATGTCACAAAAAATATAGCGTGTCACAAACCGGAAGCGAGGTTCGTTCCATTGCTCGCAAGAGCTGAATCAGTTGATTAGGTTCCACTCTAGTGACTACATTACCGGTGCAGTAGACCTTGGCTTGCAGGAACGGAGAGAATGCTGGGTCGGAGTACCAGAAATGATGAACATGGGTGAAACGATGAGAGCTCGTTAGCACTTTAGAAAGGCCAAAAAACTTGCAGGTGCGTGACTCTGGAGTCCCGGAGTCATTTCACAATCTCAATCCACCGTCTTCGTTGGGCAGTGGATGGAATGAGATTCACTGCCCCCCTGCCTCTTTTTTCCGAAGGGAAATTAAAGTGCAACGTATGAAAGCCCTAGAAACAGGTGGTGACACACACAGAGAGCCGATATCCGCGCTCAAGAGAGGTACTAGCCACCTAACAATCCTTAGAAAGAAAGACAAGGAACACAAAAAGAGCAAACGAAGAGGGCAAGAGAGAAAGATAGGAGCAGTTACAAAGCCCACTAGTTATGAAACCTCCTAGTTACTGACTACTTAGCCGAATGAATTAGGTGCACTAGTTAGCGAGCGGGACTTTAGTCTTAGACTTCCCGGGTAGGAAGGAGTAGGACAGGAGAAGCAGAAGGAAAGGCACCAACACACAAGTGTGTTGAGTGCGACTTCCTTCTATTACCCTATATAGCGGGGGGGGTAAAAAGTATGAATTCTGTGCAAGGAGGGGGTGTGTGTGTGTGGCCCTAAGGCACTGCCGCAACCGGCGCTCCCTTGACTGAAAGACACCTGAAACCTAAAGAAAGGCCTCAAGAAAACGGAAGGCAACAGCAGGAAAGAAAAAACAAAAGAACCAAAGGAGATTATTTGGTTACTCGCCTATTGGTTCCCGGCTCACGTTGCTCACTCTCCTCACGCTCGGCCGTATACGGCACTCCCTTGACAAAAGTGTGTTTGACCGTATCAAAAGGTTTCCGTTGTTTCGTTTACGCACATGACGTGTCACTGTTCCATCTGTAGGTCAATCTCAGTAGGCCCTGCGGCATTCGATCAGCAATCTCCAGCAAAAACGACTCAAGCCTGTGGTATTCCCTTGACACAAGGTATCAAAAAAGTTTCGTTGTTTTGTTTATGCACATGACGTGTCACTGTTCAATCTGTAATTCGATCTCAGTGGGCCCTGCGGCATTCGATCAGCAATCTCGTGCAAAAACGTAAGCCAGTGGTAGTCAGAAAGAAGGTCACAGGAAGAAGAGAGGGAGAAATCAGTGGGAGTTCCCCAGAACTGGGTTTATGTCTATGTACACGCAGCACCCCTCGATGGGAACACACCACACCCCTCAGTGGGGCTCTGTGGCGACACACACTTAGATCGTTGCTCGCAAGAGCTGAAACAGTTGATGAAGTTCCACTCTAGTGACTACATTACCGGTGCAGTAGACCTTGACTTGCAGGAACCGAAAGAATGCTGGGTCGGAGTACCAGAAATGTTGAACATGGGTGAAACGATGAGAGCTCGTTAGCACTTTAGAAAGGCCAAAAAACTTGCAGGTACGTGACTCCGGCGTCCCGGAGTCATTTCACAATCTCAAACCACCGTCTTCGTTGGGCAGTGGATGGAATGAGATTCACTGCCCCCCTGCCTCTTCTTTCCGAAGGGAAATTAAAGTGCAACGTATGAAAACCCTAGCAACAGGTGGTGACACACACACAGACTTAGATGGTTGCTCGCAAGAGCTAGGATCAGTATGAAGTCCCACTTTAGATGCATTAGACCTTGACTGAAAAGGAGTGCAAACAGAAAGGCGATGAGTCAGCAGAGTTGAAGGTGTTTGAACACTGTTTTGGAACTGCACGGCAATAGGCAACTAGACCTGATTAAACATTGAGCAGGTACACATTCAGGCGTCCCTGAATGCATCCACCAGTCTTCCGTAGCTTCGTTGGGCAACGTAGGAAGACCGGTCGTTGTTGACCCCCTGCCTTGTTGACATTTCTTTGAAACAGGTGTGGACACAGACACACACACACACCAGGCCGCTATCGGCGCTCAGGAAGTTTAGTAGTCACCTAACAAGCCTTAGCAGGAAAAAGAAAAACAAGACAGAAAGAAAGCCGAAGAGGGCAGGAGAGAAAGGTAGGCGTAGTTACGAACCCCCTTAGTTACGAACCCTCTTTAGTTACCGATTACTTAGCCGCTCCCGCCTGTTGAAACACTTGATTGAAACAGGTGTGGACTTATGCACGCACCAGGCCGATTTCGGCGATCAGAAAATTTTTAGTAGCCACCTAGCAAGCCTTAGCAAGAAAAGAAAAGAAAAGACAGAAAGAGAAACCGAAGAGGGCAGGAGAGAAAGATAGGTGTAGTTACGAGGCCCACTAGTTATGAGAGTCTGTTACTTACAAAAACGTGCAGAAGCTAGCGAGCGGGACTTTTGTCTTATACCGCCCGGGTAGCTAGAAGTAGGACAGGAGAAATAGAAGGAAAGGCACCAACACACAAGTGTGTTGAGTGCGATTTCCTTCTATAACCCTAGATAGCGGGTGGGATAGCAACGGAGGCCAGGGGCAGGGAGGGGTGGCCCGAAGGCATTGTCATCAGTGACGTTCAAGGAAAGCCGATTTGGGCCCGCGCACCCTTGTCTAAAAGTCTAAAAGGCACCTGAAACCTAAAGAAAGGCCTCAAGAAACGAAAAGCAACAGAAAGAGAGAAAGAGCCCAAGAGCATGAAAAGCACGTGCAACAAAAAGCCGTCTGTGGTTTGACATGCCTGAGTCCCAAGCCCCGCCTGTGATTACTTAGACGGTCCCGCCTGCGATTACCTAGTCAAGCAGACTGTACAGGTGAATACTTAGACACATGTCCGAAAGTGCAAATCCTGATTGGAGCGTAAGTCTCAGTGAGCCCTGCGGCATAGTATCAGCGGTCGTGCAGAACAGGCAATCAAGGGAAATTCAGAGAAGTCCCAAAGCAGAGACGAAAGAATCGGAATTGATCCCCCAGGATCTGGGTCTGTGCACATGCGGCGCCCCTCGATGGGGATCACACCACAGCCCTCAGTGGGACTCTGTGGCGATACACACTTAGATGGTTGCTCGCAAGAGCTAGGATCAGTATGAAGTCCCACTTTAGATGCATTAGACCTTGACTGAAAAGGAGTGCAAACAGAAAGGCGATGAGTCAGCAGAGTTGAAGGTGTTTGAACACTGTTTTGGAACTGCACGGCAATAGGCAACTAGACCTGATTAAACATTGAGCAGGTACACATTCAGGCGTCCCTGAATGCATCCACCAGTCTTCCGTAGCTTCGTTGGGCAACGTAGGGAGACCGGTCGTTGCCCCCCTGCCTTGTTGACATTCCTTTGAAACAGGTGTGGACACACACACACACACACCCATGTTACCCAAACACAACCCGTCTTCGATCGGTGTCGTCCTGACACATTTGTGTGTCTGACCACGGGGAAGCTCTGCATCCCAGTCACCGCTCTCCAGCAGCTTCTGCGGTGGCCGCGACAGCCTCAGCCGCTTTCGCCCAAGGGCCGCAGCATCGGCAAAGGGCCGCAGCAGCGGCCACGGCAGCCTAAGAGGATCGGATATGATCGGTGTGGGGTCGCCTTTTTGTGAATGTTGTTTCTATTTTCTCTTTATCTTCTGTGTTTTATTTAGAGCATGTGTCTGGATGCCTATCTACTTTAATTGTGGTTTACAGGTAGTGCGTTTGTCTTTCAACCATTCTTTTCTTTGCTCAAAAACTATAGAGGCTTTGGGAATGCAGAGTTCGCTTCTGTTGGGGTCCCTATCATGACTCCTCTCAGACTCCAATAGGAGACATGGATGGATCAAAAACAACAGCGGCCAGGCTACGTTTGAACGGAGAAAGGGGCCACGCGAATCCGAGCGTCTCCGAACCATCCCCATGGGACTTGCAGAACTGGTGGGGCAGCCTCCTGTGCAACAACGTCCATGCACAAAAAACCGCTGATCTCAAACAAGAGTGCCAAGCAACATACTCCTGTTGAAGCAGCCCCGAATTCTAGCCATAGTTGGTTCTGCAAAACCATTGGTGGCGGAAACAAAAAATAGTTTGTCAAACTGAGACTGCCTGCCAAAAGGGACTTTTTGCCAATGCAACATAATGTCCAGAAACAGCTCTGTTCGAGGGTTGATGGAGCAAGGCTATATAATCACACAATCACACCTTGTCAAGGCTAGTTCTTCCAAAAGCTGCATAGACTTCTTTTGAGTCCTAATGTCAAGGTGCAAGAATCAGACCTCTCCCCTCACACCACCGGGTATCCTAATTTGCTCTTGCAAGGAGTTCGCCAGACTCGTTCGTGCCACCAAGGACCCAGTGTGTCGAGACGCGTGGACGGAGTCCGATCCACACTTAGGCAGTGAGTTCGTTGACCCCAAAGTTTTGGAAGCTCCTAACTAGCACAAATCAACGAACTCCTGCATAAGACAAAGAACACACCAATGAACATCACACCCTTTTCCAACACAAATCCTAAGGCACAACCTGCAGTGAGGCAAGGCGCAGGTCGTCGGAGAGATTCTCCAAGGTGGTCAAGAGAGTCTGGACCTGGTTGGACGGAGCCGCTCTCTAAATCGGACAGAATCCTCCGTTTTGGTGCCAAACCCATGGAACTGGTCTGGAGCCTCTACGACCCTGAGGTTGTTTGCTCCTCCTGGGTGTTTACAGTGTTTACACTCATGCCATTTGCGGAAACACTGCGGGTGCACAGCGCGCAACCACCTCGTGCGGCGGACTCGAGTGAGACCAAGAGTTTCGACAAAAGAATGAGACCAAGACTCGGCTTCCACATGACTCACCCAATATGCGAATGAAAAGGATCTTCACATGGCTTGGGACCCTCAGCACAATCCAAACATCCACAGTGACCCATCACCCTTCCCATTCACCAACCAAATGGATCCAAAGGGCGGGTAGTTCCCCTGTTCCAACTCAACCTCTCATCGGCCACACCAACAAAACACATCAAATTGCACATGTCACATGGTCACATCTATTTGGACTCACTAGGAACAAGTGCATCGCTTCTAGTAACAAGTGCCTTACTAGTAG